GCGTTCTCCATCGCCCCCACGGCCACCGGCGAGCGTGACCGACACTACATCCACGCGGTAGTGCACCGGTGCCCCACGGCTCCGGAGATGGCCGACGCCGTGGGGGACGTGAACTGATGCCCCACGCCGCCGCAGTCACCGGAGCGGGACGCGTCCCCACGGGAGGAGGTGGTGCAGACCCCGCCTTCCAGCCCGCCCCCGCATACCACGGACCGCCAACCCACCTCTGGACGCCGCCGGATTACGTCGACCTCGTCAGCGACGACGACGACACCGACATCCACTAAAGACGGCGACGATGACGGCAAGAGCGCGCGGACGACGTTTTTTTATTTTGTTTTTATGTTAATTATGGCACTAGACCGTTAACTGAACCATGAAACTGAGCCGTTTTATGGCCGTGAACCTAACTTATGTTTTATGTTTTTTTATTTGCGTTTATTTACTTTATTTAGTCATTTTATTTAAGTTTTTCTTTTTTTAATCATGTCCAACACAGACATGATTTGGGGTGCGGTCGCGCGTTGGGCGCACCTACGACCCAACGGATCCATTGCCACCCCAAAGAAACAAAATTCGGTCAAATCGAACGTCCGTTTGAGATCGTGCGGTGGAGTTGGCCTAAGGATAATCTATACGTGTCAGGTGAGATAATTGTAATCTGTGTGAGAGATCGAAGCTAGTAGAGATACGCATACGCTCAGAGTCCGAGTGAGATCGAAGGCGACGTGTAGTGGTTACGGGAACGCGTTGCCCCTCCCTACGCATGTGGTACGTACGTACGCCGTCACATGGGCAACCCGAGCTCACTCTCACGAAGTCACGAGTGATTGGGTAACGTGACCTGACGTACGGTGTGATGTACACGGCGAACCAGTCTGGTCGATCGTGGTCCTAATCAACTCCTGGGAAAACGGAACCCTATACACGCACACACGCGCAGAGAGGCGCAAGAAAACTGCAAGTGTCCCTAGATTCGATGGTGGTTGACACTTGGCACGGCACGTGCGTGCTGCCTGCTCGCTCAGCGGCCCTGGATTCGGGTTCAGGTTCGGTGCATGTACCGGCAGCGCCAGCCCGCCGCTGGGCCCTAAACAAAAGGATTCAAAGCGGCCGTGTAATTCCTGGACCGGCCGCGTACGTTTGGTTGGTTGATTGATTGATCCATCCTCTTGCGAGTTTCCTTTCGGGAAAGATCCTTTTGCGAATTGAAGCGACGAGCACCAGTATAATACTGTTCATGCTCATGCGTGTCTCTGTCTATCTTCAGTTTAGTTGCACCCCGAGCTGATTCAAAGCGAGCTTATAAAATGTTGGTTGATCCGGCCGGACATGATGAGAACACCGATAGTGCAGTCTTCCCCTAAGTCTAATATAGTTTTGTTTTAGTGTTCGAGTCGAATGAGTGATGGCCAGTGATCCACGATGCTCGAGTCGAGTAGCTAGCGAGATTAGGCTGTTCCCTGCCAAAAACAATGGGGTGGTTTCTCACCAGAGCTGGCCCGCATGTGCTGCAATAATGCGTTGCTTTGGATTTCAGAATCTTGATATGATGATCTCCTTCTCTTGGTAGAACGTGAAACCGGCCTCTCACAGTAGTCACCATTCACCGATGGGCAATGTCCGGCCATCTTCCGTCAGTACGTCCTGGTTTGACATGTCCAAATGTTCGGTCTCGAAAGTTGACACGACACGACCGTTAATCAATTAACTAACTAAAGATGTCTCGACAAGTAGTAAGTGCATGAGATTGGCTTTTTTATACCGAAAGGGTGAGAATAATCGAGGACCTGTGTGCACGGTACCCTTTTCTTCGAATTGACCTGACTTGTCCGATTTATAAAAAAACGTATACCGTATTGACCTGAGAGTCGCCACGAATGTGCGAGCAATTTCCTTGTGGTCAACCTCCGCACAGAAGGAAGGCCATCCAGATCATGTATTTCAGAAGGTTCCAAATTCATCGTCTACGCGAAAACAAACGGCTTAGACTTCCACGCATGGATACAAAAAATGGCAAGGTTTATGTATGTTCCTAGTGGCCAGAGCAAACGACCATCAGAAGTGTATGTATTTTAGAAACTTCCAAAATCATCATATATGCGAAACAAACGGCTTAGGCCAACTTCATCGCACGACTCCAAACGGATGTCCGTTTTGTCCGGATTTTGTTCATTTGGATAGAGCAATGGGGTCGTGTCCGGGCCGTTTCTGGGATGTGGTGGCCGTGCGCCCAACGCCTGGACGCATCCCAACCGCATCCTGTCCGCGTACCTTTTTCTTTGCAAGCCCTTAAACTTTTTTTCATCATTCATTTTTGATACATAAAAATATATCACCAAATTTTGACTAGTAAAGTAAGACCAAAGAAAACAAGAACCACAAGAATATATTTTAGAAGATATCCAAATTTCATAACTGCTCCTGTAAGTTGGATTAGTGCCTTCTCGATGCATTTATTGTTGATCTGCGGAGGAGCCTCGATCTTGCGTGCTTCTTTCTTCTTCGGGTCTAAAGAAGTAGAGGTTGCTTTCTCGCATCTAGTATCGTGTCTAGCCTCTAATCTAGCAACAAGTGCACTTGTCTCATCTACAACCTCTATGCTAGCTAAAAGTGCACGAACATCTACTAAATTGCGCTCTATCAATATATCGATGTACTCTTCTTCTCAATACCAAAACTCGCATCCATTCTACACAATAAAATTGGAAGTTAGCCCAACTAGTCAAATCTAGAGCACAAACCGAAGCTAAAAAGAGCACATACCCCATCGTTTAAGCACTTGATGAATATCCATCCGGGATGTTCCGGCGTTATAGGCACGCGACGCACGACCTTCTTTGGGTAGTGGTCGCACTTAATAAGTGGCAACGGTGCACCGATGAGCTTGTGGGCTAGCACCGAGCCCGTTCGACCGCCATTCGTGTATCTGCCGGCAGACCACCAATGGTGTAGATCCAAGCGGCTAGAGGAGGAGCCACTGCCCGCATACGGCCCTGCCAGGGCCTTCCGGCCTGGTGCCTGACCAGTCCATGGCGCGGCGCGGCCTCCCACAACTGGGCGAGCTCAAGACCGACCGGATCCACCCCAAATCCGACCGGCGGGTGCGCAAATGTGGCCGTGTTTGGGTAGCTGGGGGCGCCGAGGGGAAGGGGTTGGGCGAGTGCGCTTCCGAGCTGCACAGCTGCAATGGCAGCGGCGGCGGCGAGCGAAGAGTGTGGAAGAGTGGAGAAGAGTGGAGGGTGTGCGGCCGGAGGGAGGGAGGGGGCGGATAGAAAAAGGCGTCCCTGTGCCACCGACGGGCGGGTCAGTGGAGGACACGCGCAGACGGCCCGCGCGTCCGCGTGCTGTCTGTTTCACCCAAAAAATGGCGTAAACTTGGGTCGGGATGGGCCGAAAGCAGACAGAAAACGGACAAAAGTCTGTTTACGCCCACGCGCTGGACCCTCTGATTCGTCCGTTTTATCCCAAACGAACGCGCGTGGACAGGATGTGGTCGCGCGGTGGAGTTGGCCTTAGACTTCCACGCATGAATACAAATTATGGTCAGTTCCAGGTTTATGTATGTATATCTACCTAACCCAAAGTCGCGCGCGATTCGGACGCATTTCATGGGTCTCCGCAATAAAATTGTTCTTAATCTACGTGTTTGACCGATCCAGGTTTGAGGACTGCGACACCAATTACGGAACGTAGGTCTACGTCCTTGTTAATTATACGAGAAAACATGCACCAACTGATCGAAGAATTTCTCCTGCCTGCGGGTATTTGACCCGAATTCTAGCTAGGGTTTGACGGTAACCTCCTGGAGCTATCATGCCTGCTATGCTACCGAGAAAACATACACGCGGTACTACGTAACTGCGACTCCCGGTTTGTTGGCTTTTGCTGGTTAAAATTAGGGTTAGTATGGTCACGCACACACGCTTCTAGTTGGTGATCGCCGAGCGGGAAAATGACAGTACTCGAGGGAAAAGGATTTGCTCGTACCGTCTTTGAAGGGGTCCAAATGGCTGTAAAGCTAACCATGAACCGAAATGCCAACTGTAGTTTCTGAAGGACAACTAACTGATTGGGTAAATTTGCTGTGAACATCACATA